TACTCATGTTTTGAATATTAATACTCATTGTTGACTATGGCAATCATCATAGTAAGGGAATATGATGCCTTAGGTCGTTAGTTCAGATGTGATGGAGATTGATAATGATTAGAAAGTGATGCCTATATTCTGCTAAAGGGGTTAATTAATACTATTTTATTCAAAGAATATAAAATTCTATAATAGGAAGTTAGAAAAGGAAATCAGTATTTTTTCATTTAAAAGGGTTTCATAAAGTAGCTCCTTATGGTTCCATTTGTGTTTACAGATAAGTCAATCTGTGTGGTTAAAAGATGGGGTAGAGTTGAGAGGGTGTGACAAAATGACCTAACTTATTAGGTCACTGCAGCCTAAAGAGCTTCAGGAATGGATGTATTTGATGACTTGCTGTGAACAAGACACCAGGCTATTTTACATACAGTATTGAGTTTAATGCTCACGACTCAATGAGATAATTTATTCTCATTTTGCTTAAGAGAGATCTGATATTTAGGTAGGATAAAAAAACTGACCTTTGGCCATACATCTTGTCTAAAGTAGTAGGCAGGATTTGAACTTGGATGTCTCTACCTCCAAAGCCCTTACTTGTCTTTCTGCTGTATACTGCCTCTAATGTTATAGAATGAATGAAATAGAAAATAGCATTTATTTTTCTTTTTAAAATTTTATAGGAAGCTTTTTATTTTTATTTATTTATTTATTTATTTTTTATTTTTTGAGACAGAGTCTGGCTCTGTTGCCCCGGTTAGAGTGCTGTGGTGTCAGCTTAGCTCACAGTAACTTCAAACTCCTGGGCTCAAGCAATCCTACTGCCTCAGCCTCCTGAGTAGCTGGGACTACAGGCATACGCCGCCATGCCCTGCTAATTTTTTCTATATATATTTTTAGTTGTCCAGTTAATTTCTTTCTATTTTTAGTAGAGACAGGGTCTCGCTCTGGCTCAGGCTGGTCTCGAACTCCTGACCTTGAGTGATCCTCCCACCTCTGCCTCCCAGAGTGCTAGGATTGATTATAGGCACGAGCCACTGCACTGGGCCTATAGAAAGCTTTTTAGAAACATTTATTGAGATCTGGTTACAATGACCAATTAATGTAATCAGAGCCAATTTCATGAACAGGGAAATTATATGATGTGTAAGGGAAGCTAAAAAAGCTTATCTACCTGTAAGCCTCAGATACTCTTCAAAATACACAGTACTTGAAACACACATCTTTAGAACAACATTCTAATCAGTTGTGGCCAATGCTTAAAACATTTTTAGGAGATAATTTTTGTTTTTTTTTTTTGTTTTGAAATTGATAATGGGCAGTGTAAAGCTTATTTTGCAGAAAACTTCTTTCATGTGGTCTGGAAAAATTCCAGGGAAGTCAGGTACACTGGGATACCCTATTGTCTTCAGAACACAGCCTATTTAAGGGTTGTCATAAATTACTGACACTTTGGTATGAGGTGGTTATAATGTGAGTCCACTAATGACCCAGTCACCTTTAATAATAAAAAGGAATGGAACCAAGCGAGGGTTGGAGGATGGATGTGGAGTATGAGGAACTTTCAATTTAAAATAAGCCAAGGCCCAACTTGAGGTCACTAACCAGTTGGTTATTCCCAGACAATTTTGCTTTGAGTGATTTGAGTAGAATAGGATAGGTATTCTTGGATTTAATTTCTTCCTTTTAATTCCTTTAGGGCAAAAGTGTTTATTTTACAAAGTTACTATTTTCTGTCAATGGCATGCTGCCTTTTGATTTAAGACCAATAATGTAACCAACCTGGAATCCAACATATTAGTGGCTTTGTTTTCTGAGTTGTGGAAGTATTTGGTGCCATTTTTTAGTTTTTGAAGAAACTAATTTGATTTCTTCTTTAGTAGCTCAGGCCTGAATTCCTATAGGTTTTCAAATATTTTTTGAATTGAAATTATCATCCATAACAGCTTATCAGAGAACTTAAGATGCAAAGTAATGTGGATTTTTTTTTTTAGCCCAAAGCTGTTAATTTGGATTAAAGTACTTTTCTTTTTAGCTGTGCAAATGATACTGTCAGTGTTTTCAATATAATTGTACCATGTTGCATTAGCTATTTTAATTTTTCTGCCTTCTACGCTGTCGTTACTAATAGGCATAATTTCTTTTTTCTCTTTTGAAAGAATCTATGGGTTAATACACTTTTATATGGAAGGTTTGATTAGCACATTATGTACTTGAGTCTTGGCGTAGCTATTTATTGGCTTTCATTGATTTATGATTTCTGTTAAAGAACAAAAGGGACTTTACGCCTTTTAGTTTCCTCACACAGTAGACAGGTTATGTGGAAGGAGAATGTTGATCAGAAAATATCAATAAAATGCAATGTTTGAGGCTTCTGGACTTAGAAGAGGTAGCTGTCATTTTGGTGTCTTTCCTATCAATCTGACTAATGACTATTTTTGTACTTATGAATTCCTTAGAACACCTGTTTTTCTGTAAGAAGAAAATGTTTGACTTTCAGTGACATATGCAAATTATCTACATCATTTTAAATTAAGAGTTGAGGTAAAATAGGAAAAAAACACATTGCCTCGGAAGTGGCTAAATATATACTTTATAGTGAAATGCCCTTTGGCTAAGCCAAGTATGAAAACACTTATTAGACATTTTCTTTATTCTTTGATCAGGACACTATTCTGTTGAAGAATAGTTTGATTTACACAGGCTGCTTTTCCTTTATTTTTCATCAGGACCACTAACTTTCTCTTAAGTAGTTGTGTATTTCAAGTCTGTTGCATGGATAAAAAAACACTATCAAATCATCATTATTAAAGTAGAAATCCAGCAATTCTTTACTCCTTTTTTTCACAATTATGTCCTCCTTTTTTCTGTTTTCTTTCTCTAAGTCCTTCCAGATGTTTCTGAATTGAATTGCATTTCTGCTACTCTGCTGCTTTCTACTTCCAGTGCCTGCTAGTGCCTTCTAGAGCATTTACAGCAAAGCGCATAGCTTTGTACTCATTATTTCAATCTAAAGCCTTCATTCATTTAGGTTCTGGTTAAAATCGGAGAAAAGGAAGCATAGGGCATAGACTTTGCAGTCTTAAGGTTTTTAAAACTTTTTCCTTCAGAGTTGCATCTACAGCTTGTAGATGGTGCCACCTGGAACTGGGAATGTAAAGCCTAGAACCAAATCAACCCCATGGTCATTGCTCTATTCTCAAGCTTTCTCTTCACGTTACTATATATATATATATTTTTTTTTTTTTCATCTTCATTTTATTCAAACTTTTTGACAGTTATAGATAAGTTCGTGGAGAGCAGAGAAACAATAAGTTTATTATGTACTAGCGGCCTTTGTGTATAAAAGGTTAACTTGCTACAGTAATGGTACTCTAGAAAAATCGATGTATAAGGCAAATAATTAAATGAGAAGAATAGTCTTCAGTGAGTACCTTGGATTGAATTTTGGTTCTTCCACTTATCAGCTGTGTGACCTTGGTTAAGTCAGTAAACCTTTTTGAATCTCCATTTTCTCATTTGAAAGTTGTCCTCCTCTTAATGAGATGATAGATGAAAATGATTTTTAACCTATAAGATGCTCTGCAGGTATAATTTTCTTTTTTTATTTTAGACCAGCTGTATTGACGTTTTGGCAGTTTTAATATATTGCTATAAAGACAAATAAGATGAATTCAAACTTTATGATAAAACAAATTTAGTAAAAATTTACGCTGCTTCAAAAATTTTACAAACGAAAAAGAAATGAAAACATTTTGAATGGATACACATTTTGTTAAAGTGTATTTTGAACTTTTCTGTTTATGAAATCTGCATACTTATAAAATAATTATATAATGTCTGTGCACATTTTAAATAATAATACTTATAACAATAATTTCTGATGTACATATCACCCAGCTTAAGAAATAAGACATTACATATCCTTTCTTTAAACGCATCCAGAATCATGACTTTAAATAGCTCCTATATGCTAATAACTCCCATATTTAACTGTATAGTCTGGACTTCTCCCTGAGCTCCAGATTTATATTATATATCCAGCTGTATACTTGTCTCCACTTGAATGTCTAATAGGCATCTCAGACTGAACATCTATAAAACAGAACTGATTTCCACCTCACTCGTCTTTTCTTTCTTGATCTCAGTTCATGGCAACTCTATCTTTCCAGTTGCTCAGGCTAAAAACTTGGAGTTTTGATCCCTTTTTTCCTGCCTCAGACTCCATATAGAAGCTATCATCAGATCTTGCTGACAGTTCACTAAAAATACATCTAGAATATCACTTCTCAACACCCCAACTGCTAACCTAGTCTGAACTATTGTTATCTTTTTCTGGATTATTGCTAAGGCCTCCCAACTGATATCTCTGCTTCTGTTGTTTCCTGGTCTGTAGTCTATTTTAAACACGGAAGCTTGAAGGATCTTGTTAAAAGTAAGTCAGATAATGTCACTTGTCTGTTCAAAACCCTTTTCCATGACTTCCCTTCCAAGTCATGCAAAGAAAATGCCCTTGTTAACTCTCTCATTTCTTTGACTACTTTCCTCTTTCCTCATTCTCTTCCATCTACACTGTTCCTCAGAAATGCCACTGAGCTTACTGGCCTTTGGAGCTCCTCACTGTATGCTAGAGGGTTCTGTTCTGACCTCCTTCCCTTCTTGAGGTCCAGGGCTTTCTGACATCTTCCTTGAATCCATGGCCATTAGTATTCTGGCTCTAGACCATTAGGCATGACTTGATACCTTCAAACAAAGGCCTGTTTTAGAATACTGATTACTTTTCTCATTTTGAGCCTTTCTGTCTTTTGTCTTCTACAAGGAATTCTTTTACTATTTTGCCAACTCAATTATTATTATTAAATTATTATTAAACTATTGTATTTTGTTCAGCATTTTAGGTGGCTTCTTTATCAGCCTTTTTGTCAGAACCCAGAGTCTGATGAATTGTTATTAACTAGTGAAGTTAGATCATTTATTTCTTGAAATGATTTTGTCTTTTTCTTGGTTTGAAGGATGGAAGACTCCAAACAGGGGACCACATCTTGAAGATTGGAAGCACAAATGTTCAAGGAATGACCAGTGAGCAAGTTGCACAAGTTCTCAGGAACTGTGGGAGTTCGGTCAGGATGCTTGTTGCCAGAGACCCAGATGGTGAAATTTCATTGCCCCCTCCTACCCCCACAGCCTTACCTGTTGCCCTGCCTACTGTAGCCAGCAGAAGCCCTGGTTCTGTGAGTATATAAGTCATCCTTTCATCTTAAGTGTGATACACTGCAAGATAAGAAATTCTTTCAACTCAAAACACCACATTAGCGTGAATTGTGTCCCAGTGCTCACCAGTGAAGCAGAAGATAACCCAATTCGAAGACACTAGGCATGTTTGATTTTCTGGTTTGCTTTTCTCAGGGTAAAGTCATTCAATCTCCCTGAGCCTCAGTTACTCATTTGTAAATTAGAGACTAATAATACTTGCCTTGTCTATTTCATTAGAAAGGTTGGTGAGGAGATACTCAGACGGTAGAGGGAAAACTGTACATACTGGTTAATGTATGAGAATTATCACTAATAGACTGGCCAAAGGAAATGGACATCAATAATATTTATTATAATTATTAATTATATTTAATAATCACTATTATTAATTACCAAGCACTTGGAATTTTCCTCTGAAATCTTCACAGTAATTCTGCAAAGAGGTCTTATCATCCATTTAATAGATGAGGAAATGAAAATCAGTTTATTTATTTATTTATTTATTTTTGAGACAGAGTCTCACTTTGTTGCCCAGGCTAGAGTAAGTGCCCTGGCATCAGCCTAGCTCACAGCAACCTCAAACTCCTGGGCTCAAGCAATCCTCCTGCCTCAGCCTCCCAAGTAGCTGGGACCACAGGCATGCACCACCATGCCCGGCTAATTTTTTCTATATATATTAGTTGGCCAATTAATTTCTTTCTATTTATAGTAGAGATGGAGTCTCGCTCTTGCTCAGGCTGGTCTCGAACTCCTGACCTCAAGCAATCCTCCCGCCTCGGCCTCCCAGAGTGCTAGGATTACAGGCGTGAGCCACTGCGCCCGGCCATGAAAGTCAGTTTATTAAAGGCCTGACAGTTGGCTGGGTGTGGTGGCTCACGCCTGTAATCCTAGCGCTCTAGGAGGCCGAGGTGGGAGGATCGCTTGAGCTCAGGAGTTTGAAGTCAGCCTGAGCAAGAGTGAGACCCCTTCTCTACCAAAAATAGAAAAAAAATTAGCCAGGTGCGGTGGTACATACTTGTAGTCCCAGCTACTGGGGAGGCTGAGCCAGAAGGATCACTTGAGCCCAGGAGTTTGAGGTTGCAATGAGCTATGATGATATCACTGCACTCTAGCCATCGCGACAGAGGGAGACTCTGTCTCAAAAAACAAAACAAAACAAAACAAAAAAATCAAAAACAACGACCTCATAGGGAATAAGTTGCAAAGCTGGAATTTGAATTCAGATCATTCTGGTCCATTCCAAGCTTTTTTCCACTGTCTCACAGGCTCTGAATAAAGAAATAATAGGGTAAGAGCAAAGAAACCTCCCTCCCCCCAATCATCAGGCCTAAAGTGTCTGAGCAAAGAAATAGTTTTATAAAAGAAGGATCAGGAGGAAGAGGAAAGAAAAGAGAAGTGCTTATAGTGGAAAAGAGAGAAAAGCCACCAATCATCATCACCTGAGGCATCACTCAGTGGCTCCTGGAAAGTTGTTTGCGTTTTTCTACTTGGAACCACATGAGTGGAAGTTTTCTATCTGAAATGTTAGAACCTTTTTACCAAAATTTCTTCAATTTGTGGTTACAACCATTTTCTGTTCCCTCCTCTACTCTAGTCCACCTTGTAGCCAGGGACCAAGGTAGCTATATGACAAGTGGGAACTTAGTCCAATTACTTATTTACTTTCTAATGTTAATGTTTTGAATTCGAAACAAAATATTATGTGTTTGAACACCTTCTGTCCAGAAATGTTTAGAAGATGAGTACAACAAGTTTTAGTTCAATATTTTTTATATTACTTAATCTTATCTTTTTGTTTCTAAATCTTTTCTTAGGCTTGTAGTTCTTTTAGATACAAATATAGTCTGAGTTTTTTCTACATGGCTATATTAGTTTTCTAGGGTTGGATAACAAATGACCACAAATTTAATGGCTTACACCAAAACCCTTTTTTAGTTCACAGTTCTGTAGGTCAAAATTCGTGGTGGAGCTTGGTTGGAGTCTCTTCTTGGATTCTTACAAGGCCAAAATCAAGGTGTTGGCCTGGCTGTGCTCTTTTCTGGATGCTCTGGGGACTCTTCTCTTCCAAGCTCATTCAGATTGTGGCAAAATACAGTTCCTTGCAGCTGGAGGACCCCTTTTCTTTGCTGGCCATCAGCCAAGGACCTCTTTTAGCTTCTTAAGGCCCCCACATTCCTTCTCACATGACTCCCTCCATCTTCAAACCACAAGTTGAGTCCTAATAATTCAAATCTTTTTCACTTCCCTTTCTGCTACCAGCAGGAGAAAACTCTGCCTTTAAAGGGCTCCAGTGATTAGATTAGGCCCACCTAGAGAACCTCCCTTTTGCCATGTAATGCAACATCAATATGGGAGTAGTACCAGGGATTAAAGATCATGTGGACCATCTTAAAATTCTACCTACCATCGGTGCTAAGAAAACACGTGGCAAATCATGCACAAATAAACTATGTATACACAGCTATGTAATTTAACATATATAATTAAAATTGTTTTTTACTTTTAGGACAGTTCTCTTACTGAAACTTACAATGTCGAGCTCATTAAAAAAGATGGACAGAGTCTCGGGATTAGAATTGTTGGCTACATTGGAACATCTCATACAGGTAAATGAATTATTTCTATTTTATATTTGGAAATAATTGTAAAGGATGTTAAGGTTTCTAGACAGTAAAATTAAATAACTGCAAGTTTTAATTTAAATCCTGAACAATAAAACCATGAATTTATAATAGCAACCAGTTTCTTTTGAGTGATTACAGAATCACCTTTTTATCTCAATAGTTTTATAGCTGGCTTGAAAGTCATTAATAAAAGGATATAATTTTCTAATTCAGTGTATAATATTTGAATTGTACCTCCTCTTGTTTCTAAAATAGATATATTTTCAATACTGTTAACATGTCATGAGTATGTTTGTGATAAAGTAAATTGATTACTGTATATATTTCATATTGTGAGCATCCAAAAAGTATTACTGTTATGTTCAATCACTAAAAATAAGTTAAAACAAGTATTTTCATTAGAGTTATTTTTCTTTCATATAAAAGGAATATACTGTAAGAATGAATACATGGCTCACGTATCTTTAAATAAAACTCCCTCAATTCCTACCTGAAAATCTCTGGTAACATTCACTATAAGTTATTCTTTTATTATAGGTGAATTATTAGGGTTTGGTAAAATAAACCTTTCTATAAATATTTGCTAATAACATGAAAATTTAGAGTTATGAAATGTTCTAGTTTTTATTTTTAAAAAGTAAGATTAGAGAGTTAATTTCTTTGAAAAAAAATTGTTATTTTGCATATTTACAGCAGGTGGAAAGATTAAGAGTGCTAATGTATTCAAAGTCCTGAATGAAATTCATGTCAGACCACCTTGTGCTATTTTAGCCTAATGAAATCTTTTTTAAAACTTTTAGATTCTTCTAAGTGCCACCTTTTTTTAGGTACAGAATTTAAATGAGTTCCAAAAGAGCTAAGTGTGCCTGTATAATAATGTTGCAAGAAAACCATATTGAGTAGTTTTCAATATACTGAATCTGGTTAGAGGAATTATGACTTAGTTCCTTAACATATGGTTTAATTTCTAAGTGAAAGTGAATGACTGCTAGAAAACTGAGAAAATTTGATGTTTATTGTTGCTGAATAAAGGAAAGAATCATTTTTCTTGTTTATCCTCAAAAGAAATTTTTGGGATTTGGGTGGGTTAGGACAGCAGAGAGCAGGTGAATTCAAACACTAGAAACTTTTGAAACTCAACAGGCTTTTTTTTGTGTGTGCCATGGCATCAGCTTAGCCATAGCAACCTCAAACTCCTGGGCTCAAGCGATCCTCCTGCCTCAGCCTCCTGAGTAGCTGGGGCTACAGGCATACGCCACCATGCCCAGCTAATTTTTTCTATACACTTTTAGTTGATCAATTAATTTCTTACAGAATTACAGGCATGAGCCACCGCGCCTGGCCTACTCAACGGGCTTTTTAACAAATAGTCTTTCAAAATAATTTTTGCTCTATTCTATTCATTGGACTTTTGAGGGTTTACTTTACATAGTTCTGGAGAGAGTAGAAAAATGAATATAAGAAAAATTTATTTAGAGAGATAAACTATAAACAACTCTTAGTTGTTTAAGGATAAATGAAATGTGTATTTTATAGTGGCAGACATACAATCATCTCCTTTGTTCCAAAACCCCCTATGGATATGAAAATCCTTGAATGTTCAAGTCTCTTATATACAATGGCTTAGTTTTGTTTATAATCTATGCACATCCTCCTTTATACTTTAAATCATCTCTAGATTATTTATAATACCTAATATGAAATAAATGCTATGTAAATTGTTATACTATGTTTTTAAAAAAATTCTGTCTTTTTATTGTTGTATTTTTTTGTTTGTTTGTTTTTTGAGACAGAGTTTTGCTTTGTTGCCCTGGGGAGAGTGCAGTGGCATCATCATAGCTCATTGCGACCTCAAACTCCTGGGCTCAAATGATCTTCTTGCCTCAGCCTCCCAGAGTGCTAGGATTATAGGCATGAGCCACTGCTTCCAACCTGTTATTTTTATTATTGTTTTGTTCCCCAAATATTTTCAACCTGTGGTTGGTTGAATCTGAGATTGGTTGAATTAGCAGATGTGGAACCTGTGGATACAGAGGGCCCACTGTACCAGCAAACCATCATAGTATGGCAAATAACATATTCAATTTGACTGAAGTAAGTGGAGAAGTCACGAAGAGGGAGGCATTTGAGCTAGGAATGGAAAAGAAAACAATGTTTTGAGTTCATTTCAAATTAAAAAATAAAAATATAAAATCATCCACATCTATGGCTTTTTATTTTCCAATTTCCCTCCTAGTCCTTGCCTGCAGGGATCCATGTTTTTTATGTAGTTAACAATTTTATAGCCATTTGTTTCTATTTACATGTTTTATAATATAAGGACATGTTGCTGAGCTCATTCTAGTTTTTTTTAAAGGTCATGTGTACTTTTGTTTTTTTCTGTGTTTGGGAAGCTAACATGAGCAGTGAACTAAATATAAGCAAGGAGACCTATTAAGGAGACCCTTGTCATAGTGCTGGTGAAAAATGATGGAGGATTATGCCAAGTCAGCAGTAAGAATGGAGACAGACCAAGAGAAGAGGGGCAGACTTAAGCTGGGCTATCTTGAATTCCATCTTAGATTGGAGTGCATTTCATGAAGCTTCCATTGCTGATTATTTTTCCAGAAGAGCAGTCATCAGTCAAATCATTTCGAATTCGGGTCACTTGTGATGGTGACAGTTTGAAATAATCCATCAATTTCTCTGCTTGTGTTCAAAATAGTATTTATCAAGCCTCCAGTCAGCCCCCTTAGCTAATTAATCTCTTGATATGAATTTTGCAATCAAGGCCTAATTAGAGCTTTTTCCCCTTTTTCTGTGTGTCTGTGCATCTTCAGGAGAGGCAGCAGGGATTTATGTGAAAAGCTTAATACCTGGCAGCGCCGCCTACCACAATGGCCGCATTCAAGTGAATGACAAAATAGTTGCTGTGAGTAACTGCCCTCTGTTTTAGATTTGAATCCAGTTCAAAAAAAGAAATGTTGATTTTTTATTATAATATGTATAACAGGATGATGGCTTAACATAGTTTCATAAGGTTTTTTTAAAAAATTAAATCTGTTAGTACAGTGAAATCTCATTAATTTGAAGTCTTATGGTCCTAAATTTGATTTTTTTCATTGTCACTGAAGAAAGGATTCACTAACAATATTGGTAGGAAAAAATGTATATAATTATATAATGTAAATACATATATTTGTATACATATATATTTTAAAGATGTTCTAGCATTCTCCTAGAAAACACTTTTCAAGTACCTCTTTGTGTTCTTTAAACTCATCCATTTTTGTATACAATTAATAAGCCATTAACTGGCTCTTTTCATCCTTTTGAAAGTAGTTTCTCTACTAACAATAATTTTTAGTACACCCAAAATTGAGATATTTTATATTTTTGAGAATATAATAGTTATATCAATTAAAACTGATCTCTATTTAGTAGAAATTAGTTGAATTTTTATATATTTATATATTATAGTATCTATATACACACATACTTACTATAAATAGATACACACAAATACATTGATTTACATAGAAACAAAGTTGGGTGGTATGATTTGAATCTTTATCCTTCAAGTCCATCTAAGAAAGCACATTTCATGACTCTTGGCTTTTTCATTAATGGGCTTAGAAAATGTCTTTTGGTGATTTGCAGAGTCTGGAGGCCAGCAATGGTAGTTGATGCTTTGGAGAAAATACTTATGGGGAAAGTTAAGGTATTTGTGGGTAGCTTAAGAAGATTGAGAGAGGAAGCCTATTGGTCCTAATAGACTTCAGAAATGTGGAATTGAGCTTGATTTAGATGAAGAGTACCCTTTTTTGCACATGCTTCCATTAGAAGACCTAATGGAGGAAGATCAGTGTGTTTCTTTGGAAAGTATCATAGGGTGATATGATAGAGGAATGAAGTATTAGATGATCTCTACAGTTTTCATGATAATGGCTTTTATTACATCTTGAGAGATGTGTATAATAATTGACAAGCTTTTATAATATTTTGAATTTTGAATAACATCAGAGATAAAGACCCTTTATCTCTCTCAGGCTGTGAGTTAAAATGTATGACTTAAGAATACAAGTTTAAATTTGCTTTCTAGTGTGTAAGGAAGTTTGTCAGTATGTTTTAATACTAGGTTTGCATTCTTATTTATTTATTTATTTTTTGAGACAGAGTCTCACTCTGTCACACGGGCTATAGGGCCGTGGCATCAGCCTACCTCACAGCAGCCTCAAACTCCTGGGCTCAAGTGATCCTCCTGCCTCAGCTTCCTGAGTAACTGGGACTACAGGTGCCAGCCACAATGCCAGACTCATTTTTTTTTCTTTTTATTAAAGACCAAGTCTCTCTCTTGCTGAGGCCGGTCTGGAACTCCTGAGGTCAAGTGATCCTCCCACCTCGGCTTGCCAGAGTGCTAGGATTACAGGCATGTTCCACTGCACCTGGCCAACTGTATTCCAAAGTCTAATTTAAATCATTTTTGGAATAAAATGAATTGTCTCATTTTATTTAGCCTTGCAAGAATTAAAAATAGTAGCTAACTTAAAGCTTCTGTTTAACATTTCTCTTAATGTTTTAGGTTGATGGTGTGAATATTCAGGGTATGGCCAACCAAGATGTTGTTGAAATATTACAAAAGGCAGGGCAGGTGGTACGCCTAACCCTTGTTCGAAGGAAGACACCCTCCTCTGCTTTTCCACTTGAACAGCCTTCAGACAGAGGTAATCAATTCCACCACCCCTTTGCCCCCATGTAGTGTGGGTTTAGAAGAATAGCTAAATTATGGAAGTTACTCTGTGAGTCTGAGTAGGAAAAAATTGCCCACCTTGTATAATGCAGCGATAGAGAAATGAATGATTAGTCATTTGTGCATTGAAGAAGTGTTTTCTCTTTGCATATTTTAATATGCCCATCCAAATGTTAAAATGTGAACCCTGCCTGACATGCACTAAGCTCAGAGAACTCTAAATGAAGATAGAAATCATTTTGCCAAAAAGCTTCCGAATTTTACCAATTATATTTGAATAATAAAGCTTGGTACTTTTTGTTCCAGAGGCTCTCATTTGTCTAATGCTTTGGCATTTTTCAAACATCAAGTTTCACATTACTTTTAACAATATATTTTATTCCAATATGTCTCTTGATTTACTTTTTCAAGTACTGTGAGAGAAAATAAAACATGGATTTCTATCAAAAACATTTTTGTTTGTAAAATAATGATTGTATTAATTTGGTTTTAAGGTTAGTAAATCTTCATTATAGGACAAATATATAATTGTATGCATGTCAATTTTTTTTTTCTTTGGAGATAGAGTCTGTCTCTCTATTGCCCAGGCTAGAGTACCATGTTGTCATCATAGTTCACTGCAACCTCAAACTCCTGGGCTCAAGTGATCCTACTGCTTCAGCCTCCCAAGTAGCTGTGGAACTACAGGAGAGGACCACCATAAATTTTTTGTAGAGAGGAGAATCTTGCTGTTGTTGTTCAGGCTGGTCTTGAACTCCTGGCTTCAAATGATACTTCCACCTAAGCCTCCCAAGTGCTAGGACTACTGGCATGAGCCACTGAACCTGACCATCAACTTTGAATTATCAACTTACAAAAATACAGATCAACAAAAGTTGATAATCATGGGACCACATATTCAATTAAAAATGACTGACTAGCTATATAAATAGTAAGAAATACATCTATTAAGGTTGGGTGCAATAGCACCTGCATGTAATTCCAGCTTCTCAGGAGGCTTGGGTGGGAGGATAGTTTGAGATCAGCTTGAGCAACATAGTCCCTCTGTCTCAAAAAAAAAAATAAATAAATAAAATAAAGAGAAAAAGAAAAATACTTCCATTAGAATTTGTCAGAAAATGAATATATATTTTTTCCCTCTGGAAATATTTCTCTGAAGATATAAGAAGACCGGAAGGCTTTGCTTTCAACTGATATTGATTTGTATTTGTGTTGGAACTTTTTATGTTTTATGTGATAGTGGAAATTTTACTGCTGAAAGACAGATGCCCTGTCAACTGAATTGAATATGTGAAATTTAAAATTGCCTAAATAGTACAAATTGTACAAATGCCATATTGACCTTAAAAGGTTTACATAAATATTTATGTAAATAAATGGTTTTTAATAGCTCTGATGGAGCCTTTGGCTTCAATTTAATATTCCAAATGAACGAAGGCATGCTCAGTATCTACAAATTAGCAATTCTTTACTGGGCATGCCTACATTTAAAATTTATGTTGGGATACGTTCTGCTGGAAATCTGCACCCCTTTCTTCATGATTTTGGTGTGCTCATGGCTTCACTAGCACCTCTTGCAAAGCACTCTGCTGTAGCATTTATCACACTACGTTGTAATCACCTGTTTATGTGTGGGACTACAATGTGGGGAGTGATTATGTCCTTGCCCCTGCCCCATGTCTCACATCTTTGTGTGCCTTGCACTTTGTCAACATTTAGAAGTCTGTTTTACAGAAACAAACTGCACCGCTTTTAGCTCTTGCATGGTGCCTTCTATCATTCTGAATCTTAGTCTTTTTCTCCTCTAAACTCCTACTATTTGCATACATTGTGTATACATATTTGTGTCCCTACTTGTATACTGTTTGTAGCACACAAGTACATTGCTTTGTACTATAAAGCAATGGTATGTACTATAAAGCAATGGTGGTATGTAACTGTCTTCCCCAGCTCTACTGGCAGCTTTGGCTTGGCATTTTTTTTTATTGTGATTAAAAAAAAATACATAGGGCTGGGTGCCATTGCCCATGCCTGTAATCCTAGCACTCTGGGAGGCTGAGGCAGGTGGATCGTTCAAGGTCAGGAGTTTGAGACTAGCCTGAGCAAGAGTGAGACCCTGTCTCTCCTAAAAATAATTGGCCAACTAAAAGTATATAGAAAAATTAGCTGGGCATGGTGGCACATGCCTGTAGACCCAGCTACTTGGGAGGCTAAGGCAGAAGGATTGCTTGAGCCCAGGAGTTTGAGGTTGCTGTGAGCAAGGCTGACGCCACAGCACTCTAGCCCGAGCAACAGAGTGAGACTCTGTCTCAAAAAATAAAAATACATAACATAAAATCTACCCTCCTAACAAATTTTTAAGTATACAGTATGGTATTGTGAACTGTATGTACATTGTTGTACAGAAGATCGCTAGAACTTTTTCATCTTGCATGATTGAAACTCCATACCCATTGTTTCTCATCACCCCAGCCCTTGACAACCATCCACTCTACTTGCTATTTCTATGAACTACTAGGATACCTAATATAAGTGGAATTATGCATTCTTTGTCCTTCTGTGATTGGCTCATTTCACTATGTATAATGTCCTCAAGGTTCGTTCATGCCATAGCATAGGACAGGATTTCCTTATTTTTAAAGACTGAATAGTATTCTGTTGTTTGTATATACCAATTTTTCTTTGCTCATTTATTCTAATGTACACTTAGGTTGCTTCCACCTCTTGGTTATTGTGAATAATGCTGTAGTGAATGGTTGGCCTTTCTTATTCTAGTACTAGGCTATGCAGTTACTGATGTGTGGTTTAAACTTTCATGTTAATATCATAGGAACTTTTTTTTTTTTTTTAGACAGAGTCTCACTCTGTTGCCCAGGCTAGAGTGCCCTGGTGTCAGCCTAGCTCACAGCAACCTCAAATACCTGGACTCAAGTGATCCTCCTGCCTCAGCCTCCCGAGTAGCTAGGACTACAGGCATGTGCCACCATGCCTGGCTAATATTTTCTATATATTTTTAGTTGGCCGATTAATTTCTTTCTATTTTTAATAGAGTCGGGATCTTGCTCTTGCTCAGGTTGGTTTTGAATTCCTGAACTTGAGCTATCCGCCCTCTTCGGCCTCCCAGAGTGCTAGGATTACAGGTGTGAGCCACCACGCCCAGCCAGGAACTTTTAACTGACTGTATTTTTCAACTTTTTATTGTAAAAAAAAAAAATTTTAAACATACATAAAAAATAAAAGACAACATAATGAATACCCACAAGCCTGCCATTTAGATGCAGTAGTTAATATTTTGCCAATTTGCTTTCTCTGTTAATCTTTTTTCCCTGAACCATTCTATAGTAAGTGGAAGACATCATGACACTTCCAGTCTTTAGCTTATAAAAATATGGATATTCTCTTATATAATCATGATACTATTATCACATCAAAAAATTTTTTAAGGGACAAGATTTTCCTCTGTCACCAAGGCTGGAGTACAGTGATATGATCATAGCTTACTGCAGCCTCAAACTCCTAGGCTCAAGAGATCCTCCTGAGTAGCTGAGATTACAGGAGGGCAACCACCATGCCTGGCTAATTTGAAAAAATTTCTTATTTAGTGGAGACAGGGTCTCACTGTGTTGTCCAGGCTGATCTCAAACTCCTCGCCTTGAGCCATCCTCCTGCCTAGGCTTCCCAAAGTGCTAAGATTACAGGCTTGAGCCACCACACATGACCAACACCAAAGAAAATTAATAGTAATTCCTTAATATCAAATACCCAATACATACCTAAAATCTCTCAGTTGCCCCAAAATTTCATTTGTAGCTTTTCTTCCCCCAGACTCCCCTGCAACCAAAACCCCCAAACCAAGATCCAGTATTGTATTGCATTTGTTGCATGTGTATGTCTGTTTGGTTTTTTTCAATCTAGAATAATCTCCTACCCTTGCCCCCATGACAAAGAATTTTTGAAGGGATTGTTTGAAAGAATTTTTGAAGGGATAGTCACTAGAATGCCACATTCTGAATTTGATTATTTCCTTGTGGTGTCATTTAACTTGTTCTTCTGCCCACCACATTTCCTGTGAATTAGAAGCTAGATCTAAAGTCTTAGGTTCAGGTTAATTATTTTTGAGAAGAATATTTTATAAGTGATGTGTGATTATTTAAAAAATAATCCAAAATGACTCATGTTCAAGTTTTCTTATGTTTAAGAGATACAAAGTGACCTGCCTTACTGAGATTGAAAACTTTGGATGACTCCTATTATTTTAGTTAGCTCAATTTGTCTAAGGGAGGAATCTCTGCCCCCAGGGGAATTCTAATTCGATTCCAATTAATGATGTTACCTATGTAGACTTGTGTGTTATACTCATGATGATGTCATGCCAGCACCTAGGAGAGCCCAGAGCAATGGCCCAGCTTATTCTGCAAGTCTAACTTCCTGCCCACCACCTCCACAAGTGTTTTGTTCTTTCTAAGGCTATGCCAAGAAGAGTCTACCCCTGCTTTGTCATCGACTTTACCTTGTTTTTCTCTTCCCATTGCCTAATTCCTTATTCTTTTCAATATTATCAACAAGTTTATTTTTTAAGGAATTGATTGGTTACCTGTTACACTTGGCACTTTAGGTTAAAGGAATCATGTAAGTTACCTCATAGGCTTGTAATGAGGCTGTGAAATGGGAGAACAGGAGTGAAATAAACTCACTGAAATATGGTCCTCAGCGACTAGTGACCTAGTGATTCAAATTAGCAATTTTTTTATTTTTATTTTTTTAGGAATTATGGAACCACCAAAAACACCAGGTGTCTTTCTAACTGGAGCAGTGGAAACAGAAACTAATTTGGATGGTGAAGATGAAGAAATTGGAGAAAAAATGGATAATCTAAAAAATGACAACATACAAACCTTAGAAAAATTGGGTAGGCACCAAGCGTTCACTTGGGAATAATTGGACTTACTGATTTGTTAACCATTTTCTGTCTTCGTAGTTATTAATAATATAATGTGAGGAATCTTAGAGGCATTTTGATGATACAAAATAGGGTATTCTTATTATCAACATCTTAACAGCAGTTGGGGAATCAAACATATTCTTTTTAAATCTTTGTTTTATTATATTAATTTTGAATGCATGTTAGTATGTGATGACTATTTTTTATCTTGTTTTTAGCATTTTTAACTACTGCATTTTTTAGCTTGTATATTATCATTGATATGTCTATAGCTAGAGATTATAGTTATGTGTATACATATAGCAGTGTTTTTTATATCATAAAAATTAATAGTCTGTACATTTTTATATGTTGCATCAAAATATCAAATTGCCCGGCTGCTATACATTTATTCTTTAATTTTCTTTTGAATTGATTTATGACTTTGTTCTTTTACTTTGAACTTTGATACCTCAGTATTATGGCGGACTCTGTTTTGCAAGCATATTGAGTAAGTTTCACATAATTCCCCGTGCAAAGGGTGCTAAGGAAAGCCTTGCTAGCTAAACGAAACTCCCTGGAATACTTACCACCACCCATGTTCCAGAGAAGTTTTGGGTTTTAGCTTTGTCTTGTCTTAGGATAGAGCCTAAAGGAAGGAGTTAAGCCCTTATTCAAGTTAAAATATTTTCTGTGATCTGGAAATTTACCTTGTTCTTTTTGACCCAAGTAGGCTGCAATTTATCTTTGCTATTTTACTTTAGCTGAGTATAGATAGGTTTTTGGTGAAATATCAGGTGAAAATCAATGCATTTTGAAGTTAAAAATAGTTTTAGAATTTTTTTCTTTTTTGAGACAAGGTCTCATTCTGTTGCCTGAGCCAGAGTGCAGTGGCGTCATCATAGCTCACTGCAACTTCAACGTCCTGGACTCAAGCCATCCTCCCACCTCAACCACCCAAATAGCTGGGACTACAGGTTTGTACCATCACATCCAGGTCTTTTTTTTTTTTTTTTGGAGAGATGAGGTCTCACTATGTTTTCCAGGCTGGTCTCAAACTCCTGGCCTGAAGTGATCCTCCTGCCACAGACTCCCAGAATACTGGGAGCCACTATGCCTGACCTAGAAATATTTTATCTGTGCATTTTGGATCAACTTCACTGCATTTTTTCTTTGTGCATATGTATAATTTCAGTTTGAGATTAAACCCAGCATCTTCTGTCTGCTATGAAGTTAGCTTCTATTTTGCCTTTGGAATAATTGTTTCAGATCATTGAGTTATTTTTATTATTATTATTTTTTTGTAGCCTAGGATTTATTAAGCTGCTGAAAATAAAATTAATCTTTTTCCTCTAGCACTTAGGCCTTTGTGCTGTGCTTTAAAACTCATGACTGTGTTTTCGTTGTGCAACTGAAAGGTAAAATACAGGCAAAAGAGTTGTTGGTGAAATCTCAACATTACTTTATACGTGTATATAACTATCATCTGAGCACCATGTTTTTTTTTTTCTTTTTTTTTTTTAATTTCATGACAGGTATTTATTAATGTTTGATTATTTTCTACACAGAAGCATGAGAAGAGCTTAAAATCCAAATCCAATTTCATTCGGTTCACCCTTGACTGTAACAAAGGACTCTGTGAAGAGGAGAAGCGGTGTTTATGGGCTGAAGTCCCAGCAGCTGCTTAGTGGCAGAGTCCCAGTCTTTACCCAATTCAAGCCGTGGGCAGATAGATGGATACTGTCCCTTGAGCACCATGTTTTTAAGCTTAGAATTCAACTAATACATTGCAGATTTTGTTCAGATTCATTTATCAGATAAGGAACTGCTGCCTAAGAGAAAGTTAACAGGCAATACATTAGAACTCTTAATATAATTTCTTAAGGAAATGTTAACGGGAATGGACACAGGTGCAGAGCCCAAATGAATTTGATGTTTTGTTTTTAATAGGATCTTTGGTTAGTTATCCCCTAAATGTAATCTAGCATATCAGTGAATACAGGTATTTCATGGATGTTCTTTTGTAAACCTAGTAATTTAAGTTCTTTAGTGTTCATTAGTCTTAGTCTCTGATTTCTGAGGTTAGCTTCTTTCACTTAATGATTTGTATTATGTAATTAAGCATTATACGCATCCAAGATGAACTGTCTGCTGAAGACTAAAAGAGCTGATATTACAAGTTACATTTGATTTCAGGCAGGCGGTTATGTCAGTTGTGATAAGTGTTCTGTGACTTTTCCAATCTTAAGACAAAATTGAAAGAGCTTTTTTAAGTTAAAAAGAAGGTGGAAGTTTGTTCATTTTCTGGTACTACTATGGATAGAGGCTGTAATTACAGTTTTAGTACTTTGACTTTTGCCTATTAGACATTATTCGTACTGTGAACTATGCGCTGAGCTTCTGGCTAAGATCATGTGGAGGACAGGCAAGACACTTAAAATCTGCCTTACCTCATTAAAATTGTCTATTCAACAAAGACAGTATTATACTCAAGTAAGAAAGTCATAAAGATATAAATATCCTAATGACCCATTAGCAACAAAAGACTGGTGTAAAACCAAAATTTCTATTATATTAAAGCTCATGGAACTCTGGTTCCAAGCCTTTATAGCCACCCATGTGAAAAGTCTGATTGTGTTGATATGCCTTGTGGACAGTAAAGGTATCTTGATAAGTTCTTACTTTTCCAGTGGGTAGTAGGATGGTACTACTTTGAAGTGATTAACATTTAAATTAAATCCTTATATGCCCTAACATATTATACAGCAAAGCCAGATGCATTTCACTTGTAAACTATAGGATATTTACACACAAAGTATATATAATTTAAATTTCATTTATGAACTCATCATTTCCTCTTCTCTTTGAAATATTACTTAACAACAAAAGCTCCTTCATAGTTTGGTTGCAGCTGGTCTTTACATTTTACATTAGTCTTATAAGTCACCTCTGATTTACTTTACCTAGTAGACCTAAGTTAATGCATTTTCCTTTTTATTCATTTCCCCTTTACTTACTAAAACTGTGCTGTTATTGAAGAATTTAGTCATTAAGTGTGTTTGGCTCACAGTAGCTTCAACATTCTTTTTTTTTTTTTAATCCAGAAAGAGTCCCAGACTCTCCAGAAAATGAGCTGAAATCCAGATGGGAAAACCTTTTGGGTCCTGATTATGAAGTAATGGTATGTTAAAATCCTCTAATAAAAAACATTCATGTCTCATTTGCACATCAAACTCCTAACACTACAATTTAAATAAATGGGAGAGTCAAAGAATAGCCAGCCTGCTTTTATTTTTTTTCTTCTTGCCTTTCTTCCCCATTGGATCAATCAATTGATTTTTTAAAGCATTTTAAGCTGTAAGAATAATTAAGGACTGCACACAAGCTTCAGTTACAATTAGCAGACACTCAGTTCATGTTGAAACAATTTAAGCTGACAATAGGCAGAAAAATGTTAGAGGAGAGAGGGCTTGCCTTTAAATTTATAACCTGTATCAGCTGTTTAAAATTGCTGGCATTTTTATGATTGCTTTTATGATCTGTTTGTTTTATTGTACACTGAAAGGGCTGTGGATATTAGTCCTGTGTTTCACAAAGAATCTTACAGTTTTATGTGAAAAATGAAAGAATGATTATCAAATGTATTTGGAAGAACAGGAAGTAATTTAGGTTAGGTATAAGTTTATAGTGCCAGTGGTCCATTAGATTTCCTTTCACCTGTTATTAGATTCATTGAGTAAGGGATTGATTACATTTCCCCATATGAATCCACATGAAAGCAGAAAAGCTGTGCTTAGAAAAGCTTCTACTGTGTTCACTAAATGCATTAGTAATAAAATATTCTTTTAAATTCCTATTATCATTCACATTTTCTTACATGTGTTTATCATTAGCACTGTTGGCTGGTTAGAGATTTTTTCTCTCTTCTTAGAGTATCCAGCCACTATCTATTATCAGAAAATTTCCAGTGTCATTAAGATGAGTAAAAACAGTTCATATTTTCTCTCCTGCTAATTTTGTGCTTGCATGTCAGTTCTCATGAACTGCTGCTTCTCTGCTTCATAGATTTTGGATATTGCTATTAGGCTATCATCTAGCAGAGAACCTTTCCTCCTAACCTTAGTGGTTTGATATTCAAGGTAATTTGGTGCACCAGTGTTTACAAATGGCCAGTTTTCTGATGGGCTCTTTTTTTGTTAAAATTTTATCCTCCTTTTAAAATGTGTTTATCACATGGAAGGATTGTAGCAGACAGGCTAGAGAGAGGAGACAGAATTTGAAGATAGCCTATTCATTAAAAGTTATAGCCTGTTGTTTGGAGGAATGAGAGGCAGAAAGGAGAAGCCAAACATGGTGGATGAATGAATGAATGCGTGTACTCCAGTGTTTCTTATTTCACTGTCTTCCAGGACCTACTTATCTGAAATGCAGTACTTTTAGAAGCTTTATCTGGGTCATTGTTTAACTTATCCTTTCTTTCCAGATGCACCATATTTTATTAACACTTTACAGATGCAAATCTTCAGTAACGTACTTTTGCTTGCAAGGAATTTGCTTCTCTGGCTGTCCACCATTGAAGCTTAGAACAATAGTTTTCGGCCAGGCTTAAAAGCTTTAAGTATTCCATGAGCTTCCCACCAGGGACCAGGTCTTTCTGTTTGTGTCTTTGCCAGCTTTTTCTCCTGGGGAAATGGTTGGAGTTTGTGGTGGAAAGTCAGGTGCTTCAGTTTTTCCAAGCTCATCTGACTTTACTGACATGGAAATTTTGTTTCAAGGCCTGAATTTGAAAGTAAAAATGTCCATATTCTAGGTTTTGTCAAAGGAGTAAAATTTTTATGGGTTTATTATAATGGAGGATTATATTAAAATTTTAGGGATCATAGATTTTAAAAAATAGTATTTGCCCATCACATTCTGTTCAACTTTTAGATAATTTAGGAGAAAAGATTGACATGAAGAACAACAACAAATGTACTCTGAAATTTTATGTGTTATCCTTATGGATTTCAGAAATATAGGAAAGAAATTATAATGTAGATCAGATGGAGTTAGCAATATATAGTTTTGCAGATATTTTCAGAAAACCTAGGGAAAAGTAAAGTTATGCTTTTTATAAATATAAAAAAATATGTTTCTTGTATATGTAGGTTGCTACTTTGGACACACAGATTGCAGATGATCCTGAGTTACAGAAGTATTCAAAGGTAAGCATTATTTTTTTAAGATGTTATCAGTTTTTTATTGTTTGAAGGACCTTCTTTAAATTCTTACTGAAGAAACTAAGTGCTGTGATCTAAAGTTTCCAGAATTTAGTCTTAGATATTTTCTGGAAATGTGTTGGGTCTCATTGTTATGAAAGATAATGGTTAGATATACTTTGAGAGAATGCGGCATCTTTTATGCCACTTCCTGAAGCCAAAACCCAGGTTTGACTCTTTTGCCCACCTTAGAGGTAGTATGCATAGTAATGTTGTACAGAGTGTGTTAGTTTTTCAGATGTTATAAGAAGTCCTTTTAAAAATGTTTCCTATAAATTAGGACCAGGAATATAGACTTAAAAAAACCCTTCAAGTCTAAATGTTCAAGGACAAAAGTGGTTTTAGGTCTGAGTATAGGCAATGGTTGTTCTTGAACTTAAAACATTTTTGGTAAGCTTTATTCCTAATGACAAAATGTCAGAAGGTAACTTTTATAATTTTTTCTAACATTTTTATTGTCCTCTCACTACAAATTAACTTTAGAGTTCCTATTCCAGATAATCAAAGGCCAGGGCAATTAAAACTTAGAGAAGCCTTCATTTTGATAAGCTATAATCTTTTAAAAATTTTTCTTCTTCATTGGAAATTTGGGTCTTTTTTCTTTTTTTTTATTTCAGCATATTATGGAGGTACAAATGTTTAGGTTACATATATATTGCCTTTGCCCCATCTGAGTCAGAGCCTCAAGCATGTTCATCCCCAGACAGATGTACTGCACTCATTAGGTGTGAATATACCCATCCCCTCCTCCCTCTGCACCCCCCCCCTTTTTTTTTTCCTAAAAAAAGAGACATCTCACTATGCTGCCCAAGCTGATATGGAACTCCTGGCCTCAAGCCATCCTTCCACCTCAGCCTCCCAAGTAGCTGGGATTATAGGAGTGAGCTACCATGCCCAGCTAGAAGTTTAGGTCTTAATTCAATAGCTTCTCATTTTTCCCTACAGTATATAAAGGAGATTTTAACCAGGCAATCCAAACCCCTTTTGCAAATGAGGTTATTAAAGTCTTTCTGGGTTGAATGACTCCTCCAAAATTACACAGCAAGATAGTGGCCAGGACATAGTGTGTTCATTCCTCCTGAAATAATTACGAAGCCCCTACCGTATGCCAGAAATGTGCTACCATCTGTAGGAAGCAAAATGGAAAGGATCTTTGCTCTCATAGAGTTTAGGTTCTGGCTTGGTTAGGGGCATAACAATAGACAAGTACAAAATAACTTGATAAGATAGTTGCAGATTGTAATAAGTGCTTCAAGTGAATCCACAGGGTGAACAGAGTATAACTAGGGGAGGCCACTTTAGAGAGGAGGCTGGGGCAAGCCTCTCTGAGCTCAGGCTTGAAGGATAGAAGGTGGTGAGCTGGGACCGGAGGAGCAGCAGGAATAGCAGCCCTAATGTAGGAAAGGGCTGGCATGGGTGCAGGGAACAGGTGTTTGTTTCAGGGTGTCTGGGTCAAACTAAGTTAAGAGCTGAATGTCGTTAAATGAGGCTGGTGAGGAAGGCCAGGTGCTGCAGAGCCTTGAGCACTGTGGTGGTACATGTGGACTTCATCCTCAGTGCAAGGTAAAACCAGTGGAGGGTTTTAAGTAGGGTTTTGTCATGATTTGAGGTCAAGGCCGTACTTTTTTTTTTTTGAGGCAGAGTCTCACTCTGTTGCCTGGGCTAGAGTGCCATGGCATCAGCCTTGCTCACAGCAATCTCAAACTCCTGGGCTCAAGTGATCCTTCTGCCTCAGCCTCCCGAGTAGCTGGGACTACAGGCATGCACCACCATGCCCAGCTAATTTTTTCTATATATTTTTAGCTGGCCAATTAATTTCTTTCTATTTTTAGTAGAGACGGGGTTGCGCTCTTGCTCAGGCTGGTTTTGAACTCCTGACCTTAAATGATCCATCTGCCTCGGCCTCCCAAAGTGCTAGTATTACAGGCATGACCCACCATGCCCAGTCAAGGCTATAGGTTTTTCCTTTGTCCCATCAGCTTTCTGGATTGGGAACATCATTTTCATGGGTATAACTGGTGTTTCTATGGGTCTAGCTGTCTTTAGATGGTTGCTGCCCCATAGCCACCACTCTTGAATTCAAGAAGCATCTTCATATATTGGGGGCTCATGTTAATAGATAAGGTTTCCTTCTGAGGTGGATGGAGTCATGGGGAAAGAGGGAGGTGAAAGCTATTTGCAGTGGCTTGAGCATTAGCTGTGCTGCTTCTAGGAAGCTGTTAATCATGACACAAGAACAGTTTTCCCGCATCTGGGGAGACTTGCACTTTTAGGGATGGCTTTCTTGGCAAGTGTTTACTATTAAGATAATCACAGCTCTGTGAGGGAGAAGCATTAAGCTCATTCTAGTGACCTTTCTGCTGGCCATCAATTGTAATATGAAGTGAGCATCAGTAATGTCTCTCATATGGGAAACAAAACTCCAGGTCTGTTCTCTGGTTTTGACATGACAGATTGACAGATTTTACTTTATTTCCCTCCTGAATTATATTTCCTGAGCCAGAGAACATTAAAATGTGGTTTCTCCCTCCCTCCCTTACTCTCTTATGAGCAAATATAATTTTTAAGGCTGGGGGATTTACTGGGTTTTCTAGGAGTTGCAGCGGGTGTTACCGTTCAGTTACCAGGCCTGGTTCTTTGCTTTAAATACATTTTCCTCTTTATTTCTCACAGTAACCCTATTGGTCAGCAAGCATTTCCTCCTTCCCATTTTTAATATGGGAAAATCAAATGTCAGGCAGTAAAGTAACTTGCCCAAGATCATATGCAGCTAGCAAGTGGCAGAATTAGGAAACAAATTAAGGGTTATCTGGCTTCTAAGCCTGCACCACTCTTTTGTTTTTTTGTTTTTTTTTTTAATTTTGAACAGATAATAAATATATAGATGAGACACAAAATTCAAAAGGTATAGAAGTATGTACTGCAAAAAATAAGTTTCTCTCCAATCCCAGTCTTGTCATTCTCTTTCCCAGAGGCAACACCATTAGCATTTCTCAGACATGAAATTTTATACTTTGCTGCTCTCTTTTTGGTGGAGAATGTAAGACGCGGAATCAAGTGACTGTAGTAGCAGTGCTTACCTCCCAGGGCAAGTGGCATATCAGCAACATCAGAGGAGCTTTGTCAGAATACGCATGCCCTATTTTGTTCCTCCTCACCAGGACTGATCCATAGGTTTGATCCTTTTCTTGCCGCACTCCTTTGGGAATTATTCTTCAGGTATTCTTAAGCTGCCTGGTATGTGTTCAAGGAAGGATATTATACTTCCTCAAGACAGATGAAGCTTATTGGGAGGGTGGCATTGGGACTATACTCTGGAGGATGGATTTGGAGAAATGAATACAATGGGTAGTCCAGGTGAGGGAAATACCGCAGGCAAAGGTAGGGAGAAAGTCAAGTACAAAGTGTTAGATCCCACATTAAAAACTCAAGTATCACACGGGCCAGGCAGGTAACATAAATGATATAAAAAAATGATAAATGGCACCTAATGTTTAACCTTGCTGTTAGGTAACTGAAGAGGACTTTCAATATATTACCATACAAAAGAGAGTACATATGTATTCTTTTTGAACATTCACAATTAAAATTTTAGAGCGATAAGAAAAACAAATATAGTTGGGGGTGTGATGGATTGACCATCTTGAGTAACCTCTGAGTGAACACAACAAACTTTGGAGACCATTATTCTTGTGGTTCACCATTACTTTAGAACATGTAGCCTTGTTCTTGGAAAGCTTTTTATTTATGATAAACTTAGTAACTCCCTAGTCTTTAAACATAAAAGGCTGTTTAATACTTTCACCCTGGGAGAGAGAGAAAATTACAGGAACCAATCATAGGATTCTTTGTGTTCTCATTTGAGTTTAACTCTTTTGGAATTGTCCTCCCTCATCCCACTGACACATCTTTGGAGATTTCCTTTCCAGAAGTTTCTTTTCCCCCTGAAGCAATATCATTTATATTCCCATTTGAGCACTTTGATATCTTGTTTTACCGTCCTAACAGTAGAGCTTTTAGCAAAATGAATGGGCTGCAGTTTGGTTCGTGACAGGTCTCTACTCACGGGTTGAAGGCCTCTAGCTTTCTTGATCTCATTTGATCTTCATCATTTAGCACTGACAGTAAATCACACAATGGTCACACTTTCCTTGGATGCATTTCCTTGTATCCTTTACTTGTCATATCAGGATCATGAAAATCCTGCTGCTCATTAACTTTGTCAGTTTAAAGCGGACCCCTCGCAAAGCTCGCTGGAGAGGCATCAGCAAGCATGCCACGCAGTGTGCGTGAAGGCATCAATCATTTGTTGCGCCCACTCCTGTCATTTCCGCACTTTCTGCTCTCTGCCTAAGAACCCAGAACACCGAAGGGGTGGACAACTCAGAGAGACAGATGAAATGCTTGATTTGTTTAGTTGCTAAGTGCAGCTGGGACAGGTAATTAAACAGTCCTGCTCCCGCAGAGAAGCCTGCAGCAATGTAACATGAAATCTCAGAAACCCAGCTGTACCCAGATTTAGATTCAGAACTAATATTAGGTAGGCCTCCTTTAACTTGACAGATTTTGTAAACATCATTTCTGGTCTATTTGTTCAGCATGATTGAAGATGAAGCATGTGTGTTTTGTACACCATCTAAGTTTTCTAGGGAGTCTGTGGTGTTTACAGATATCTTGGGGAATAGCCTAGGTGGGCAACAGCGCCCTGTCTGGAGGGCAGGGGCTGCCATGGGTGAGGCTCTGCTGGTCCCCAGGACACTAGCCCATTCCTCACTTCAGCTGTTCCACAATGGTGGGAAGGAGGTCAGCCGTGTGAGTGGATCAGGATTAGTTGGGGGGGTAAATGGGGTGTATGTGTGTGGGGGGAGGTTGGTGGAACCAGTTTCCTCCTAACCTTTTTATCTTTTATGGGGGCATACTATTAATATTATGTAAGTAGCAAAGACCTCTCTGTGTAGAGCAACATCTTTGTTTTAATTTGAGCACTTATTTCTATGCAGAAGTTGATACCGCCATTTACTCATTTGCTCGAACAAAAAATTTAGCAATTGTCCTTTTCACTCTCTTCCCCAGGCCACCCCCCAGCAGGCTGACTTTTATGTAGGGCTGACCCATTCTTACCCTTCGAGTCTCACCTTAAACGTCCCCTTCTCCGGGGAGCCTCCTCTGACCACCTTTCCAAAAGGGCCCTGACCAGCTGTGCTCATTTGTCCTGACCCTGGTTAGTCCCTCCCAGCACTTGTCACAAGTGGTCATTAGGGCCCTGACCAGCTGTGCTCATTTGTCCTGACCCTGGTTAGTCCCTCCCAGCACTTGTCACAAGTGGTCATTACTTGTTTGTTTTTCACATAGTGGCCACACTTTCCTTGGCTGTATTTCTTTGTGTTCTGTGACAATCCTGCTGCTTGTTGGTTAGTCGTTTATTCACTTTCCTGTGTGCTTGTGTCTACTTCTTGCTTGTTTACCATCTGTCTACCATACCAGATATTCCTCTGTGAGGGCAGAACCTGTTTCTTTATATTTCCTGTTTCTTATATTTCCAGCTCATAGCTCAAGGCCTTGCACATAGTTTCAACCCCATACATATACACTGCATATCATGTCCAAACTATATCATAGATCAGTGGTATACTGGTAAAGGTCTAGCTCTCAAAAAATAAAAAAGACAGCTCCAATTTGTAGCATTTATCAATATCTGTGATGTTAATACTCCCTCCATGACAGATTTGAAGCTACCAAAAATGACATCACTGATCATGGAGTTGGAAAGCCATGTGCAGCAGCACTTCTTTGATATAGGCTTCTTCTAGGGAGCAGAATGGCTTAATTATCTGTCCCGGCTGCATTTAGCCCCTAAACAAAGCAAGCATATCCTCTGTCTCTTTCTGTTGTCCACTCATCGGTATTCTTTGAGTTCTTATTTCCATCTATGCAGATATAATAGCTATAAATCCAAGAACATAGATATTAGTAAAATATAGTGAAAAATAATTAGGAAGTGATGGGTTTTGAGCACTTATTCCATTTATTATTATTTAATTATAACTTTATATAATTTAATTTTTAATAATGGCTGTGTTTCACAACTGGCCTGCCAAATTTCTGAAAAGTGAACAATCCATCCTCAAGCCAGCACAAGCCAGCTACAGCCACCCCACTGGAGATGATCTGTTTTGGATGCACTGACAGCTCTCTGCCCTATAGTGATGGGCTCATAAATGAAGTGAGGAAGACGATTGGCAGAGATGGTGGGTAAACTGTTATTACAGAAGCAGTTACCTGAGAGTTTTTACTCACCTCCAGTAGATATACCACTAAAGAAGATGACCATAATGTATCCTATCTTGACAGACATGTTTTGGCACAATGACTAGGCAAGAGAATGAGCTAGCAGCAGTGAGAAATAAAGACATCAGAGAGGGAACAGAATAAGAACAATCACAAGCTTCCATGCAGAGCACTAGAACAGACAGAGTGAGACCCTGACTCTAAAAAAAATAAAAATAAATGAATAGCATGCTATAACATCTTATTGCCAGAGATGGTTGTAGATCCCAAAGTACTTAGTGGTCAACAGCACTTAATTTTCAGAAAATTATCACAGGGTGAGAAGTCCCTCATGTCCATTTTAAGTCATTGAAGTCACAGTCAGCTAGACTACTTGCCACTTCACATTTGTCTGCGTGTCTGCAGTGGGACAGAAATGAGCCCCAGATGGTGTCTGAATCAAGGCCCGTGGCACTCTGGGGACTCAGAGCAGACGATGGAGGGGAGGGGACAAGCTCAGGAATAAGGGATCACAGAGAATAGGAAAACTGAAGGAAAGAGCCACATTGGTGGATGCATTGCCACCCTGTGTAGGATTTTCTCCTTAAAAAGTGTAGGTAGAGGCCGTGCGTGGTGGCTCACGCCTGTAATCCTAGCACTCTGGGAGGCCGAGGCGGGCGGATTGCTCGAGGTCAGAAGTTCGAAGCCAGCCTGAACAAGAGCGAGACCCCGTCTCTACTATAAATAGAAAGAAATTAATTGGCCATCTAATATATATAGAAAAAATTAATCGGGCATGGTGGCGCATGCCTGTAGTCCCAGCTACTCGGAAGGCTGAGGCAGTAGGATTGCTTGAGCCCAGGAGTTTGAGGTTGCTGTGAGCTAGGCTGATGCCACGACACTCACTCTAGCCTGGGCAAGAGAGTGAGACTCTGTCTCAAAAAAAAAAAAAAGAAAAAAAAGTGTAGGTAGAGGTAGCTCTGGCATTTTTAGGTAAGCACACTGCTACAGGAAATGCAAATCGCAATTAGCACCACTTACTGTATTTTAGTTTATATAGCCATAGTGAGAAATCATTAGGGCCATCTTTGAAAGTCAAGAGAGTGGAGTTGGTGAATGCCCTTGACCTTTGCAACCAACAAAGATGAGTCCAGCTAAAATGCTCGGCTCCTCACTCTGACATTGGCTAGAGTTTCTCAGCCTTTGAGTCACATCTTAGCTCAGGCGAATCCTTATAAACTGACAGAATCAATCCCAGAATGGATGTGATTGCCTTCCTCAAATTGGAGATAATCTCACTTAATTGGCTAGAAAGAAAGGACATCTTGGGTGAGGTACTATCTTTCACGGATTGGTTTAAATAACATTTAATGAGCCCATCTTTAGTGCCTAGTACTGAGTTTATAGAGATGAAAGGTACAGACTCTGCATGCAAGTGTGGGGGGGAGGGGGAGAGAAAGGGGGAAGTCAAGAAAACAGTAATTCTAAAGCTGTAATGGAGATGCGCACAGGGTGTTCTTAAATCTCAGATGGAGGCACCTTAACTCAGGGCTTCCGGAAAGTGACGCTGCCTCGGTATTGAAGTGTGAGTAGGAGTTGATTAGGTAATAAAGGGGAGTTAGGATGTTCTGGGGGATAGGGAGCCCGTAGAAGAGTGAAGCATGACATACATACTGTGCTGCAGAAAGCGTGGACTGCCTGGAGCTCAAAAGTGAAGGCAGGACTCTGTGCACCCATATCTCCATTCCCAGGGAACCCAACGGGAAAAGAGGAGTGAGAACAAGAAGACCCATGACTTCATAATTTTATTCTGTTTGAGGCTAGTTTTCGCATTATTGTCCTCTCTTAAAATTTTGGTGGTCTGATTCAAGAGGTGGGGTTTTCATGTAAAAATAATACCAGATGGAGGATTAACAGCCAGGCTTGTCTTTGTCATGTTCAATGTTGTTGGCTCTGTGTCCTCCTACAGCTGCTGCCTATTCACACTCTGAGGCTTGGCGTGGAAGTGGACTCCTTTGATGGGCACCATTACATCTCTTCCGTAGTTCCTGGTGGTCCTGTTGATACCTTGAGCCTCCTGCAGCCAGAGGATGAGCTTCTTGAGGTAAAATTTATGGGGAAAGAAAGACACAGGAATTTTTAATTTCTAGGAATATGTATTCTTATTAGAAATCCACACTGAGTTACGGTGTCACCGATGCCAATGTAATATGACCCGCTTAGATTGGAAAACACTACTTATTGGATGATAAAGGAAGTACATATTATGCTTTCAGTTCATTTTCCTCATCTTTTGAGGCTCCTGAGAGGTCCTTTATTTAAAGAATTGACTAGGAAAGAAGTTTGGTAGCCTAATTAGTGTTTTTTTTGCAAAATTCTAATCCCACATTTATTTGCAAGTTTTGTCGATTATTTCTAATAAGGGTTAGAGCTGAATGATCTTAGGCTTACTGGTTTTCAGATTGTCTCCTTGGGACCTCCCCTTCATGATGGCAGCCTTTTGTGGGCTCGCTCAGGTTCCCCAGTCTCTCTTCAGTCAGAGCTGTTCTAAAAATTCTAAAGCGCCTTTGATTTGAAATAAATCACTTTCTTTCTTTCTTTCTTTCTTTTTTTTTTCTTTTGAGACAGGATCTCATTCTGTTGCCCAGGCTGGAGTGCAGTAGTGTCATCATAGCTCACTGTAACCTCAAACCTGAAACTCCTCACTTCAAGCAATCTTCCTGCCTCAGCCTCCCAAGTAGCTGGGACTACAGGCATGCTCCACCATGCCCGGCTAATTTTTAATTTTTTGTAGAGAAGGGGTTTTGCTATGTTGCTTAGGCTGGTCTCAAACTCTAGGCCCCAAGCAGTCCTCCTGCTTTCGCCTCCCAAAGTGTTGGGATTACTGGCGTGAGCCATTGTGTCTAGCCTGAAATGACTTTCTTGAGAGATTTTGTACGATTGAAAAGTTGCATAGTTAATATAACAAATAAGCAAAACAACACTGAGACCCTTAATTTTATAGATAAGAAAATAAGCCACTAACTTCTCCAACTTTATACACTGAATTAGTGGTAGGAGAACTTTAGTTTGTGTTTCCTAACTCCCATTTCATTATTTTCACAAACACACTACACTACCTCCTATGCCCCTAAAAGAGATGTGGGGAACAGTCAGAGGTGAACATTGCATAGAAGAGGATTCTTCTAAAAGTGAGCATCTACAAGAAACCCTAGGTTGAATTTAATAGAATCAACCTGGTAGCCTTAGCCAAGATTAGAATCCCATGGGTCCTGATTTTAGAGATTTCTTTCTAAAATTTATATTCTTTCTAAAATCATATTTCTTTCTAAAATTTGCTCAAAGTGAAATGACAAGGGATAGCAAATAGGTCTTATGTTGGGTGCAACTGCAATTTATTAGTAGTGTCCAGTCACCTAAAGGAATATGTTGAGAAGAATTCTGAGTTGAATTTTGAGTTCAGAAAGAAAAGTGCTATTTTCATGCATTATGGATAAGCAAACAAAAAAAATAAAAAAATAAAAAAATAAAAAAGAAAAGTGCTATGACTAGTTATACCAAATTTCGTTGTAAGCATGGGAAGGCAGGGTTTTGAAGTCTGATTTTAAGAGGTAGAAGGTTGCCTATTTTTAGAGGGGTTCGAGAGAATGGTATTGGGGTGTTTCTTACAGATTAATGCCCTAAGTTGTTTTATTAGACGAATTATGCTTTTTTTTTTGGTTCTGAGGTCATGTATTCGTCTTCTATTGGTGGAGCACAGGCACAGCTTTGTGGGTCTCACACGTGAGAATCTGTACATTGGATACCACTGCTATAAGATGTAATTATTAGGTATTGAGAAATAAGATATATTTGTTTGGGAGATGTAGAAGTATAAGTAAAACCAATTTAGTTCACTTTTTTTTAGTGGTAAAATATAGATAACATAAAATTTACCATTTTAACTATATGTAAATATACAATTCAATGACACTCAGTATAACTCACTACTAGTATGGTAGGTAGGTGCTAAAGAAATGCTGCATGGATCAGAGTAGAGCAAGTATAGGTGATCCCAGCCATAAAATTGAATCCTCTATGCTTCAGTCAAGACTGGGATTCCGTGGGCCTACTACATTGTAATAAACAGAATGTGGTATAATAGGATAGCATGAAGATTTTTTGAATTCTTAAATACAGATTTCTAGTGAAAGAACTTGAGATAGGGAAAGAAACCCAGGTCTGGAAGTCAGAGAAGCTGCTTGGGGTTCTGAATGTACCACAGGTTAGCCATGTGTCACTTCACTTAACTGTTATGGAATCAGTTTCTTCATCAGTAAATGCCTACTTCACCATGTGTTTGTGAGGATCTAATGAAACATTGTCCATGTAAACTATAAAACATTATCTCTCTGTGAGGTATTGACAATATTATCACTGTGGAAAAGGCATATTGACAAGCTTTATGGGCTGGGCTGAGGATTCAGTATGGTAATATAATGGGACAACACTTTTACAGTATTCTGTAGTCTGGAAGTATATACACGTGTGCGTATTTTCTAATCGAAAATCTGGGTAATTGAGACTTGACAATACTTAAAAGGCTCTCAAGTTGAAGGACTTTGAGAAATACTGTGAATTCTAAAATGAAAGTCAGCCTCTTCTGAGTAACCAAATACAGAGATAAAAAATCTCTGTAAAGTTAGCCAAATAAACTCCTGAACTCAAAAGTGTGTGTGTGTGTGTGTGTGTGTGTGTGTGTGTGTGTGTGTGTGTGTTTAATGTACTCCTTAGAGCTTAAAACCAGAAACACAAATTTGCTTTGGGGTTAGAACACTGTGCCAAGTCTCTGCCCAGCGCAGCTATTTACAGCGGCTATAAATCCCCTCAGATAGGAGCTGGTAATGGGAAATGTGACCAATCCCTTTAGCGATAGAGAGTAGTGAGGAGGTCTACCAGGCACTGCTATAATAATTGGAGACAATTCAAATGAATAAATAATAAGCTAAATAAATATTTAAAGGTACTCCAAGATAAAAACCTGAAAAGTGACTTTCTAATTTGTTGAAGTGAAATACAAACTAATACCCATGTATCGGTAGAATTCCTGCTTTGATTATATCTACTTGTGTTTTTTCTTAAGTATAGGTTACGACCCATTAGGTTGATTTTAGAACCGGTGATAGGTACCTCCCTGCCTCTTCTTTTGAAAAGGTTGACTCGTAGTTAATTCCAAGGAAAAACCTTTCATCTGCTGCTGAACTCGCTGCTCCCTGGGCCTCTTCATCAGTCGTAAAGACGGGGAGACAATATTTACTTTTGCAGTAGGGCTAGCTCCCTGAAGTGCATGTAGGTCTCTTTCCCATGTGGTGGTTTCTTTGTAAATAATTAAGAGGCAGGGTGATGTGTCTGTCCTGATGGCTAAGTGCTTGGTGTGTCAAGGCTTGAGAGTGGTTCTCAGGGACAGTTGACTCAAGACTCAGCCTGCTGCTGGTGGGGTGCTCCCAGCAACCCAATGTCATCTTATTCTCTGGTGCAGTGACAGATTTGTGGAAAGGCTTCTCCCAGTAAAATCAGCCCTGCCAGTTATCTGAACATTAACATATCACCTATTAGAAATGAATGCCAGATTAGAAATATCTTTAAACTAAAAAATGCTGCTAAACCCTCCCAAGAAGGTAGGAGTCAAATGTGGAAAGGATTGTTTGTTGCCTGGATTGTGTCCATGCCTCAGCTCTTTGGGAGTAGCAGACAGGTCAGCTTTTAGAGACCCGTAGTTAGAATTGAGGGAACTCTTTGAGTGAAAGCTGTATATATGAAAAATTGAAATAAACATATCTTTCTAAATCATCTTTGGTGCCAAATATTTTTATACACCAAAAATAATATGAAATGTAGATAATGTTTTGGTGATAAGGATTAATCATTAATAAAAAATAATTATCTTTTTTCCTTTAAACATGGGATACATGCATAAAATAATTTGAAAACTGACACATTGCATATACTTGATGATGCTATCAGCAGAGTATAAGAATAGAACTGATACAAAGTTATGTGTATTTCTTGTCACTTGACCTTAGCCAAAAGGTTGAGAAGCAATGTGCTTATTTCTTTTTGATAGAAGTGATTTTTCTAGGATGGTATTAAGAGTGTGGGATGTGAAAGAATATTGTGAACTGATGTTAAATTTTGACAGTCGAGTATTCTGGATTTGGTTAACCTGCATACTCCAAGTTAAACAGTTTTAACAGCCTTAAATTTAGTGTTAATATCTATAGTGATATTCTTATGAAAATGCAAAGGGAAATCATCTTAAGAAGGCTATAAAGGATATTGACTGCATTTAAAGGGAACTGGGTATTAGCTGGGCATGGTGGTGCTTGTCTGTAATCCCTGCTACTCAGGAGGCTGAAGTAGGAGGATCTCTTGAGCCCAGGAGTTCAAGTTTACAGTGAACTATGATTGTGCCACTGTGCTCCAGCCTGGGTAACATACAACACTGGAGTATTGAAAGGAGAAACCATACAGATGTGAAAATTTAGGTAGATGACTTACTCAGTAGTAGATGTATTCTGTACATATTTTATACTGTATTCACTCAAGTTCAGTAAAGATTTGACCTTAAGGATTTCTAACCTTTTTTTTAGTTATTATAACACTAAAATAATATGATTAAATTTAGGCCCTTTGTTTACAGGGAGAATAAAACATTATCCTGTTTTCATTTTGGTAGATTAATGCAAGTAAGAGATTTTTGTTTTTTCATTTGGGACCTCTTCAATTCTCACTTGTCTGTCTTCCTAGGTCAATGGCATGCAGCTCTATGGAAAATCTCGCAGAGAAGCGGTCTCCTTTCTTAAAGAAGTGCCACCCCCTTTGACCTTGGTGTGCTGTAGAAGGCTGTTTGATGATGAGGCTTCCGTAGATGAACCAAGGACCACCAAAACCTCTGTTCCTGAAGTGGAGGTACTTCATGAACATACTCCAGCCCCCACTGGTGTGCCCATTCATCAAGGATAACCTGAAGAGTGTATTCAAATATGAAGGAAGGGGAACCCACTCCACCTCTCTTTTTTATTTGACTAAGGCGACAATGCATAGTTTTTTCAAATTGTTCCTTTTTTATAATGTCATAAAACTCTTTTTCTTGAAATGTTGGAGACATTGACATGCATGCATTTTGATTTTAGAGAACCCTTTCTTAGTAATTGCCTGGACTCATTACTTTTGGCTTGTAGTTCAACTCAGTTTGTCTTAATAAGCTTAAGATGCTGATGAGTGTTGAATGTCTAATAGACTTCCCCTTTTCAGAACCTTAAAAATATGAAGATCTGTGATCAATTTCAAAGTGAGTGTAGAAATTGCCATGAAAGCCTTCTGAAGGTCAGAGAATGAAATAACACTTTCTGTGCTCTAGGTACTCTTTTTTTTTTTTTTTTTTAAAGAGCCTTATATTTATGAGAAGAATTTTGAGCACTTGCTTTGCCATCTTATGCCATTTGCAGTCTCATCTTTTATGCCACTTTTCCCTACTCTTCTAGATTATATTCCCATTAATACCAGTTTAGATACATGGGGGCTTCACTTGTTTAAGTTCTGAATTTCAAGATACGTGGAACCTAATCCTGCCTGTACCACTTAATAATTGTGATTCTTTGGACAAATAACTGGACTTTCTGTTCCTAATTGTCCTCTGAAAAATGGTAGTACTTAACAGTACTCGCCCACCTCATGAAGTTGTATGAGAAGGAGATGTGGTGCTGTGTGCTGGGTACTTGGCACAGTGCCTTGCCGGGACACTGCCCAGTAACGGTTAGCGATGGCTGCTCGTCTTCTGGTTCCCCCCTCCCCTGTCCACCCATCTTTGTTTTCTGATCTCCTAAAGCGTATAAGAGCCCAGCACTGTCTTATAGTCAGATACTTCAGTGTGTATTAATCTTTTTTCTGAGAAGACCGTCAGAATCTTAAAATTATTTTCTATCTCAAAGTGTTTTTATTTTGTACTGGGCATATAAGAGGGGCTTTGTAAATTTTTTATTTTTTAAAAAAATTTTCTTTTTGAGACACAGTTTCACTCTGTGAGCTAGAATGGCTAGAGTGCAGTGGCACAATCATAGCTCACTGCAGCCTCAAAGTCCTGGGCTCAAGTGATTCTCCTGCCTCAGCCTCCCAAGTAGCTAGGATTGTAGTCAGATGCCACTACTGGGCCTGGCTAATTTTTAAATTTTTTTTTGGAGAAAGGGTCTTGATGTGTTGTCCAGGCTCATCTCAAACTCCTGACCTCAAGCAGTCCTCCCACCTTAGCCTCCCAAAGTTCTGAGATTTTAGGCACGAGCCACCATACCTAGTGAAATTTTTGATTATTGATTGACAATCTTTTTTTAAAAAAAAAAGTTTGACTTTTGTAAAAATATTTCAAGAAAGGGACTCAAACACCACACTTTTATGACTTTTGCTATTGTACTAAAATGAAATGTGGGTGGCGGCTTCCCTCTGAAGGTTGACAGAAATGCCTTTAATCTAATCTTGCAGGGTGTGTAAATCACCAACCCTGCTTGCTGACTCCATGCCCCCATCTGTCATGCTTTACCACAATGGGTGAACAACAGCTTTGAATTATGCTAAATGTCAACCTGGCTGCCCATTAGTTGATTGCTTTCCATTCTATAAATACAGGAGTTATGCAGAATTGATTGTATCAAAGTGATATATCTCAGGTTGGAGTATAATATCTTATGTGCCGTGGATGCCTTGAAATTTCTATAAACTTGGGTTTTGTAATTGTATGTGGTTTCTTAAAATCCTGGCTCTCTTTTCCATCTGTCTCATTTTCATTTATGCTGATACCATCTTGTGTTCTTAAGCCCTATCTGGTTAGGCAGCTCAGCCAAAATTCTAATGCTCATTAATCAGTAAAGGTATTAAATGCCCCAGTAAAACATCAATCATATTGTATTAGCTTTGGGAACTTTACTTTTTATTGGAAGATATAAGTTTTTTCTTTTTAAGTATATAACTCCCTCACATCAGGCTGAAATATACAGAGGTTATTGATCTAGAACATTCCCAGTAATTTCAAGTTGTGTAATTCAAGAACCAAGAAATTGTCCCCGTGTTTAGATTCAGTCCACCATGTATTGAGTATTGACCATTCATGACGTGCAGTGACAGTTTGAGATTGAGTTCTGCACCTGTCCTCATTTTAGAAATGTTTTTGTCTTCACTATTTTCCAAATTATAGGGATTTTTTCCCCCTCCCCTCTTTGATTCCATTACATGGATTTTCTTCTACAGGTCTTTCAAAGTTATGTTTGTAGGGATGATACATTTTCATTTTATTTATTGAGATCACCCACAGTTTTAAGAAGTCTACTTTTTAAAATTATTATTTAGTCTGTGGCTTTATTAAGAAGGAATTTCAGGCTGGGTGAGGTGGCTCACGTCTGTAATCCTAGCACTTTGAGAGGCTGAGGCTGGAGGATCATTTGAGGCCGGGAATCAGAGACCAGCCTGAGCAAGAGTGAGACTCCATCTCTACAAAAAATAGAAAAATTAGCCAGGCGTGGTGGCATGCGCCTGTAGTCCCAGCTACTTGGGAAACTACTGAGGCAGGAAGCAGGAACATCACTTGAGCCCAGGAGTTTGAGGTTGCAGTGAACTATGATGACACCACTGTACTCTAGACAGGTAACAGAACGAGACCCACCCCCACATCCCCAAAAAGGAAGGAATTTCAAGAGAAACACACTGAAAGATATATAATTTTTAATGTATTGAACAGATATTTATTGAGTGCCTACTATGGGCCAGGCATTTTATGGGTTGAGTGGATAACCATGGTAAAGTCCTTGGTATCATATCCCTCATAGTTTCCCATTCTAGCCTAGAAGCCAGGCAATTTGTTAGTGCTTGAGCTATAAAAAAAAAAAAAAAAAAAAAATTCTTTAGCTTTAGGTAGAAATTCAGAGTATTTGGGGGAAGAGAAATCAGATGAAAACAGCAGTATGATACTGTAAGTAGTACAAAATCAGAAGGTTTTTTGAAGAGCTGTTTTCCTTATGCATAGTGTACTCATTGACCCACCCATTTCTCTTCCTGGAATCTGCCTAGCAGTGACCCTTCTCTCTGAAAGGACAGCAAGTCTGGGAGGGACTTTGGAGTGTGAAGTCAGGAAAAGTAACCAAGAACTTGTATACTGGGCAGTTGTACTGACCTATTTCCTCCAAGATCAGATTTTCATTATTTCAACTCAGTGATTTTTAAAAAATCTATTTTTAGACTTACATGATGCCCAAGGACTTGAATTTTTTTTTTTTTCCTACCTCATTTCTCTAGTAAAGTTTTTCTTAAAAATTTACAGGAGCCAAAAGAAGTGGGTTCTCGCTGGGAGAAGTTGTCCTGCTCTGGCCTGTCTCTGTGTTGGCATCTTTTTTTCTTTCTTTCTCTCTAATTACAAATCCTGGTATTGCTACTTAAATATCTTATAAGCTTCTACTTTGTATGATGTTTTCATTTACTTGTATATTTTTCCTTTTATGCTTCTAATGGGATGACAGAACTCATTGAAGTATAAGAGGTCAGTGTTAATACTTTGAATGAAACAGGTACTTAACATTAAAAAAAAACTGTATGCACAATCTGCATTTTTCAATGCTTGAATTTTCATGATGATCTTTTCGTAGTGTGTGTGTGTGCCCAGTGCATGCCTCTTTTACAAAGATTAAAAATAAAAACTGTGCATGCCAAAGAGAATTCCCAGTTTGAGAAGAAACTGTGAGATTCCTGTTATCTTCATTCTTTTCAGAATTGAAAGATTAATGTTCTGAAGCATTTGTCTTCTTCGGTATTTCAGGTTGACCAGAATGTAGACGTCAATACTGAAGAAGATGATGATGGAGAATTAGCACTGTGGTCTCCTGAAGTCAAGACTGTTGAGCTAGTAAAAGATCATAAAGGCTTGGGATTCAGCATTTTGGATTACCAGGTATAAGAATCCACATAGAGGGTTTTATTGTATTTGTTTGAGTAATTGGTTTCTATTAAAGTTATGTGATGTAGTAATTATTTAAAGCACCCATTGACTTAGCCAAAACTGAATCCCAAAGATAGGCTATGACACTACTTTCAGTTGTTACCTTTAAAATTAGTAGCTCCCTTAGTGAATAAAAAATAGGATGATGTAATAAATGGACAATAAGGGAAGCAATAGTTTTATACCCATGGATGCTTTTAGAGACTAGAACTTGATGAACTTTTTTATATGGAGATTTTCCCCCCCTGTTTTATTGAGGTATATTTCACAAACCATAAAATTCATCCATTTAAAACATACAGTTCAATAGCTTTTAGTATATTCACAGAGTTGTGCGACCATCACTGTCTAATTTTAGAATGTGTTCAATACCCCAAAAAGAAAGTCCATACACATTAGCAGTCATTCCCAGTTCTCACTCTCCCATCCCTCCCCTTCATGTGAAGGTTTTTATAGTTTTGTTTACCTCTTAGTCTCAATGAGCATAAAGAAATAGAAATGTACATGGTGAAATTATATATTATATCCATGTTAATACAAAGTATCTATGTATGCATATATTAATGGGTACTCCAATTATAACTAGAGTAGAATTACTCATACATTTTTTGGGGGGGATGTAAAAGTTCATGATAGAACTTCTTATGTTTTACCAGTTGCTGTTGTATTTTTAAATCTCTGATTATTTGGGGGAATTAAAACTGTTGGCAAGAACTCTTTTAACTTTTAAGATGCATATTTTAATACCTTAGTGCTGCCTAAACACATTGTGGTTAATAAAGCAAAATGTACTCTATCAAAGCACACAAAATGCCAAGTGATATAAAAATCAATTCTTTTTTAATATAATAAGGCAATCGGGAATAGATTAAAAGAAAAATACTTTGAGCATTATGTAAGGACATTCAATTCTATATTTTGGCAGTGTGACTTAAGATTACTGAAATAGATTATGTCTGTTTCACTTTTGCTGGCATATTTCTGTGCCAGATAACCCTCTCTGTTATTAGAACTTCTCTTTGGAATATTATTGAATTTTAAGTTGTTGATTCCAAATGAATATTTTGGGAACTATCTTTGTCAAGAAATATCAATACTATAAGAACCTTTAAGTTTATATATTGGTTAATATCAGAGCATATAAAACAAATGGCAGAAACTATCTCTGTTTTTCTCTTCCCGTTGTAGTTGTATTACCTAGTACATGGTAGCTGGTTAATAAATATTTGCAGAATGATTGAGTAAAGTTTGGGTTAGCCAAAATTAACTGGAATTGAATGAACACATTCAATGGACGTATGTTAACCATTTTCATAATTGAAATTTAATTTATAAATCACCTTTCAGATGTGGTCTTAGATGTTCAGCTACATTTCTGTTATTGTAGGAATCTATATATATTTGCATTCTTATATAATATTTACATCATCATGTTTGCTGTGATGCTATTAAATGACATCTGCAAGTGTTGTATTTTGAATATTGCACATGTTAAAGCACAGAAGTGTTTCAGAACCTAAAAAAAATTTCAGTAAAGGATAGAAAGAAAAACTTGACAGTTCTTTTTTTTTTTTTTTTTTGAGACAGAGTCTCACTTTGTTGCCCAGGCTAGAGTGAGTGCCGTGGCGTCTGGCTAGCTCACAGCAACCTCAAACTCCTGGGCTCAAGCGATCCTTCTGTCTCAGCCTCCCGAGTAGCTGGGACTACAGGCATGCGCCACCATGACCGGCTAATTTTTTGTATATATTAGTTGGCCAATTAGTTTCTTTCTATTTATAGTAGAGACGGGGTCTCGCTCTTGCTCAGGCTGGTTTCGAACTCCTGACCTTGAGCAATCCGCCCGCCTCGGCCTCCCAGAGAGCTAGGATTACAGGCGTGAGCCACCGCGCCCGGCCACTTGACAGTTCTTAATAGTTTAATCCCTAGTTAACAAGAAAATTTCCTTATCAGTTGTGAACTTGATACTTTAAAAAAACATGGTCATTTCTAACTGTGGAATTTTTTTTCTTTCACTGCATTCCTGTAGGTATGCATTGTAACTTCTATTACTTTGTGGAATTTATTTTTATTTATAAAATTCTAGGAGTTTCTTTTTCTTCACATCTTCCTCCCAGTCATCAACACACATACTGTCATTCATTTCTGTACAGATTAGTAAAGTAATTTTGCTTCTAAGAAAAGGATTAGATATTCTTTTTGCCTTTGTGCTTCTTGGAGAACTGATAGAAAAATACTTGATTTCCTAAATGCTACTTTGATTCAAATTAAGGGGCTCAGCTTATTTACTTCTATGCTAAACCTTGGAAGAAAAACCACTCAATCTTAAATGTTTTTCTTAAGTCAATCTTAAGGACACTTGCTTACAGTTGTGTACAGCATGTTTTCACCGTTTGTCAGTGGTATCTAGAATTGTTATCTACTATGACATTTTGGTGACAGGTAAACACAATTTAAACTTTGGTTTGGGGCGAGTTAATTAATTGGTTATACCATCCCTTGTTGTAATTAGGTAATAAATTTTAAAGTTCAAAAATATATTTTGTAAGGCCAGGCAAAGGTTTAGCAAAAGCCACAAAAGGCCACGTTCCTGGCCATTATTATATTCAGTGTGTTCTGTATGAATTTATTAGGTGGCGGAATAGGGCAAAAACAGATTCCCGCTCTGCTGGGCCTAGAATATTTAGAGTACGAAGTACTGTAAAAATATTTTCACTATGGGGAGAAAGTTTTAGTAGAATGGGAGAACTTCTAGATTGTAAAGGACCTGCATTAACAATATTGAAGAGATTCAAAATTTACTTTAGAATATTAATTTCAGTTAACCACTTTTCCCACTAACTGGTCTTTCCCTAGATTTATAAGAACTTACTGTTTCTGACAAAATTATATACATCTATTTCATTAGTGCTTATGTAACTTCCTCATTTATAAAATGGGGATAATAATGTCTAGCTCAGGATTTCATGGATTAAGTGAGTTAATGTGTAAGGAAATAGGAAATGTTAATGTTATTATGGAAATTTATTATTAACAATCATGCAGTTGAGGAAATAAACACAAAAGTTTTTGATACTATCCTCAAAGATGGCACCATACTACAATATGTTTGTACTTTATCCCTTTTTAATTATCTTTTGTAGTTAGATTAGAAAAATTAATAAATAGATGCCTTTGTTTAGTGAAATTTCAATTTAATTATAAAATTGCATTCTAATATACAGCCAACTCTTGATGAACCATATGTGAATTACTCAATTGTGGATTATTGGCCAGAAGTTTGCTTTTTACATAAATTGAGCTAAAATTTAGGAGAAGATGGGTGAGCAGATAAAGGCTCTTGAATTTGTCCATGGAACAATAGGGGGCTGTCTGGACAGGTCAGTGACTCAGAGTATTAATGGAAGTTTTGTAGCTAAGCAGAGAAGAATCATGCCATTATGCCTGAAATGAAGAAGCTGAGTCTGCCACACCATTCTACAATTCAGTCACGTGGCCAAAGAACAAAACATGGAAGTTCATTTTCACGAAAGGCATTTTAAATTAGGTTGGGGCAAAGAGAAAAGAAAAAGCACTAGAGAAGATAGTAAATATAATTTGGGTTGTCAGTCTCTTCCTTAGATTTTAGGGTACAGCCATAACTATTTTGGCTATGATTTGAATAGAGGTAGAATATTTGTTAGTCTCAAATATGCCTAGGCATTACTCCATGTAATGTCTAGTTAAAATCCTGCCCTGAATGTGTACCATATTAGAAAATTTACTGATCTCTGTGTAATGTCATGCCATACAGAATTGTGTCATAGAAAACAGTGATATATGTAATTTGTCAAGAGCATGAATATTATGGCTTGACTATATACTGTTTCTAAGCAATAAAACTGTTGAGAAATTTGGTTGTAAGTTTTTATAGTATAAATTCTTACTACTTTCTAGGTGAGGGTTCCATACTGTGCCTTAATTATGTTTGTCTCATTTTTCCAATATTTATGTTTAATGTCTTTATTCCTCAGAGTATTATCTCCATGGAATATTACTAACACTCATATTAATACCAATATTAATACAAATACAATAATAATAGGTAACATTTATTACTGAGTATTTACTATGTGCTGGGCACTGTTCTCGTTGCTTTAAATGTATATTTAGCTCATTGATTCCTCCCAAGAACCAAATGAGGTAGGTACTATTATTATTTTCATTTTAGAAGTGAAGAAACTGAGGCACACGGAAGTTAAATAACTAGTTCAAGTTCACAGAGCTGGTATCTGATAGAATTAGAATTTGAACTCAAGCAGTTGGGCCCCAAGTCTTATGCTTTTAACTATCATACTATATTGCTCCTTTCTTTGTGAGTGGTATTTCCATGTGCATTTTATCATAGGGCATCCCCATACAGAATTTATCACAGAAGATCTTTCTGTTTTCCCAGCTTGTGAAAAATTTCATATCTTAGAAACTAAGCTGCTAGATCATATTCTCATTTTTAATGCTTATGTGAAAGTCTAATAAGTAGTAAAAATTAATTAATATAGTGTGCTCATATGCATTGTGTAAGAGCTAGTGTTCATTGCTTCAGAAGAAAATAATTGCAAATTTAAGAATCCTAAACTAGTGCAAATAATTTGTTGTGGGTTAATGTTCAATAATGAAGCAATTATTAGGTAGTCTGAGAGTCTGTAATTTTTAATTTCTACCAAAAAGCTTGAAAAAAATTTAGAACCATATAGATTTTACCTTCAGTTGACCTTATAAATTAAACATGGCAAGTAGATATTTTCTGGTGTTTTGATTTATGTTGAACTTTGAATAACCCCTCATGATTATAATTCACTGGAAATGTTTGACATTAGCCAATTTTTGAACATTAGCTATGATATTGCCATCCTTGGTACTTTTGAATCTCAGTGATTTAGAAGATAAAATTTATTAACCAATAATTCTCCTCCCGC